TTACGAGTACATGCGCTTTAAATGATGTCATATAAAATTTTTCGAAAACTGAACAGTTTTCTGTGAAAATGAACTCAAAATTCTGAATTTTCAGAAACATTCAAACGTCATTTTCTCAAAAACGGCTCCAATTTTTTTACTGTCGTGCATACGTACATATATATGGAATAATATATGTTCTTCAGCGAAAGTTATGTAATGCTTCGGAAAATAGATTTCGAGATTTCAGTGAAAATACACATTTCGGTGTTCCCAATACCAAAAAGGTGGTTCTGTTCAAAACTTCCGTTTGTCTGTCTGTGAACACCACTAGTGCCTAAAAGATCCAGAATACTGAACCGTTCGATAGCTAAACTTGGCCTTGAAAGAAAATATCATTGGCACTTTTGCTTCTTGAGCCAGCCTTTCGACATAATGAACTTTGTAATACATTTTCATAAACAGTTTCCTTGCTAGCTGATAAGTATATGTAAATGTAATTCGTACTAGTGAATAGAGAACATAAGAATAAATAATATTGCTTCTGTTCACATTTGCCTTAAAACTGCTTATCTCGGCGTCATTAAATTTACCAGATAATTTGTTTATATACTAATAACATTTAAGCGAATTAAAATATTGAAATGGGGGTTTTAATGGCTGTTTAGAAAAAAAATTAAAATATTTAAAAAAACAGTCGTAGTTACCGTAAGATAGAAATTGTTACTACATTGATCCCACAAAACTACCAATAAACGTTACATCTTGTTTTTTTCGAAAAAATGATAGAGACAGTAATTTTGCTCCGTGGCACTGTTTTTTCACGTTGAGGCGCTATCGAGGTCGCGATATCACCTCTACCCTCCACATTAAGCGAATAAAGCAAAAAATGAGGGTTATATGGAGATGCTAAGTTTTAATAAACAATAAAATGTATCGAGAGTGGAAGGTGATTGCACGGATTGAATTGCGGAATTTTGCAATGGGTGAAAAGGGGATTCTGAGGTGACAAAAAGAAATTTGCAACAGTTGCAAATTTACAAACAATTTCCAACTTTTGCAGATCTAAAGAAGGGAAAGTCTCTCGATGTCCCAGAGACGAAAATCGTGAATTAATAATTTTGCATCAATTTATAGTTTTATAAATATACCCTAGAACTGCCCAAAAGGCTACACAAATTCTACGTTAGATGAGAATTTTAATACTGCAGTTTGACAGAGTTACAAATTTATTGCTAAAAGTTAGTATAATTGTTGCTAAAATGCTATATATGTACTGGTCTAATGACAATAATTTTGGACAGTAAACGCTGGCACAGAAATATTTTTTTGTCATGGCCTGTGCGTGGTCAAAATCTCTCTCATTCAGCAAGGAAAGATAACGATATTTCATACGTTAACAATCGTTGCCCCCGTCTTCGGGAACAGCGTCTCGAGGTATTTTACGCCAATCACATAGTGACTAAGGTTCTGATTGGTCAACGTGCCCCTCCCCCGGGTCGAAGGGTGTCCAAGTTTGTCTGGACGGCTGGGAAGATGGAATTTCTCCCAAAAATTCTTGCGAGGGGAATTCCATGCACATAGATCGGCAATAGACAGCAGCTTGCAGGAGAACTGGGCAAGATCGAAAAGCTTGCCCAGACCAGTGAAGTTATAGTACTAATACGAGAAAGTCTGTGCCGTTCTGTAGCATTACTAGTTTCATTTTTAAATGTGCCGTTATTTAATTTCATGTTAAGATGGTTTTTGTGTAATTAAGGCAAAAGTAGTGCTTAAGACGTATATACTAACACTTATTTTCTGTCATACTCCGAGTCATAATATTTCCAAAGAATTGCATCTGGACATCAGCTAAGTGAATGTTAGATGTTTAGAGCATAACTTGTATTATTTTATTGGTGAATGAAATATTGATGTTCTTTTGAAACCGTTGCAAAAGTTCTTCAGAATGTTTTCAAGCTTATTGATCTAATAGTTATAATTAAGACTTTTTGAGTGAACCATTTAACAGCAATTGTACCAACCCCGTTTAATGTACAAACTTTCAACAATTGATTGACATTTCTAACATTGAACGCAATTCAATGCTTTTAAACCATCATAATATTTTGTTGGATGGCCATGCATTCATAAAAGAATTTCAATATTGTCACTTGCAATTTGGTGTGAAATTAAATAATGTTAGTTTAGTAGACGTCGTCATAGCACTCTGATATATTAATGATGATAAAGATAAAAATAATAGTAATTGTGGGAATTGTAAAAAACAGAAAATATATTTCAATATAGAGAATAAAGGATATTTACCTCTCTCAGTATTCAACTACTGTATATTTTAATATAGGAACTACTTCATTTCACACACCACCATTTCGTCCAATTGATTTGCTGGCTAATGACGTTTGGTTCAAATTGATTGCGATTACCACTGCGCAAACTCTTTCCTTCGATTTTAACAATCCATCCCCTCCGACTAATGACTCAATTGTATCCGATTTCCACCCGACAGAACAGCTAGTAAACAAATCAGCAGCCTTTCTCGCACAAATCAACAAATTTTCCTTGTTCTGCAGTACATTTTACTGTCGATATTATAGCACTTTTCGCGATTAGTGATAGCTGGTGAGTGAAGGTGAAATTTAGTGAGGGAACTAACTCTTTAATTTGTAGAATGGGATAATTATTTTTAAAATATCCTTATTTTATTGCGATAAATAATTATATTTATCAATTTAAAATGAAGTGTGATAGTTCATAGTACAATACACAATGTTTTTAGTTAAAATTTTAATTTAGCTAGTCATATAACACTTTTTTCAATTAACAAGTGGTGCTATATCATACACTTTCTGACATTATAATTTTATCGATATGTAATACTATAATGTCACAACGTTTCAGACTTTCTTACAACTTCAAATATTACTTAATTTCGTAAATACATTTATAAAATATATTTCTGGCATTAAATTTAGCGAATTCACAAACATATCCGATGATATGCTATTAAGCAGTGTGTGAGAAATTAAAAAAAAGTTAATAAGTAATACGATTCATCGGCGGCGGCGCTGGTGGTAGCAGCTTTCGCTACAGAGCCCTGTGTCCAGTTCGGCATTGTCAGCAACAATGGACTATTCGCTTGGCGTGTGCATATTGTGATGTGACACCCCTAAAAGATTATTAAATTATCGAATAAAACGAACAGTAAGCAAACATTTCTATTACTTAGAACTCGAAACAGGCAGAGAGAGGCTTTTGTCACCCTAAGCGTGTCTGATTAGGGTCGGGTCGCGTTCTTTTGTAAAAGAAGGCGGGCGAGAACGCACTTCATGAAATGGACGAGATGTGAAGTGACGCCTAAGGAGATAAATAATTCCCTGGATGATTATAATACTACAAAAGGACATACATCAATCTGAAACACAGTATATATCAAAGCAGAAGAAGACCAAAGTATGCTACTGCATAGCCAGCGACAAAGCATTACGTAACTTTCTCTCTATTGCTTAAGCGGTAGCGAGAAAGTAAAAATTTTTATCTTCATAATGGTAGTTTAGAAAAAAGTTTGATTTTTGCAATTTTCGAAACATAAGAATTTCAAAGAAAATAATGCTTCTACAATTCTCGTAAACGTCCTTTATGCTATCAAAGGTCAACATTTAATAAAAAATATTGCCATTTTTATGAAAATTTGGAAACTTTCCCAGGGACTACACGTAAAGTACCAAAACTTTAAAATATAGGTTTCGAATCCAGGGAGCTAGATCGAATGGGTGATATCAGTTTTGGTGAAAATCCTACTTACTGTTTAGCCGCTAGCATTGTTCACAGCCCGACGGACAGATTTTTTGCGCTCAATCAACTTTTCGGTGCCAAGGACCCATAAAACATGGAAAACATGGATTCTGACAACAACGTGTTAGAGGAAGTAATTTACCATATATATGGGAAAATATAATTAACACAAGCAGTTACAGTAATAAATCCCGATTATTTTGGTGTGGAGTAGAGGTCTGTTGAAACTCAGGGCGGATCGAAGCCTACACGCGGTGATGGGCACGTTCATCTTCCAAAATAGTTTCTTGCTCACGTTTTTATTTTACCCACATTCCTTTTTTTCCAATAAAATGTAAACTGATGCACAAGGAGTCGGTATTTTATGTTGGTGACATATCATTATGGATGTAAATTACATGTTAGGAATTAGTGAGTGGAGGTTAAGTGAGTGCTATATTCACAGAAACATCCAGGTATGATTTTGCTCACTACCAGCGATATCATTGATCCTAGAAGAAAGCCTAGGAGAAATAGTGGGCAATTTTATCCTCTTTCATTTCATATCAAGTTAATATTTACGAAAAGTTGATAGTTTTTAAGCTATAGAAATAAAGTTTGATAGATTTCATATAGGACCATTAATTACGAAAATTGAATGGCTTTTGAGTTATTTCAAAAAACGAAAAACGGCTTATTTTACCCTTTTTTTTCTTTAAAAACGTGTTTCCGGGCAAAAGTATTGTTGGCACACCTGATATTTGTTTTCAGTTACCCGAAAACCATATAGGAACCAAATCTCAAAACAACACCAAAACTTTGTTTCTGTTCTACCTTTTGACGTTACTATTATTCCAATGTAATATTAACAAAAATCTAATGCTGTTATGGAACTATGAATATTCCTAGCTCACAGAGTGCGAACATATCGAACTTGCAAAATGACGAATATGCATTCATTTGGGGCTTCAGACGGCTTTTGAATGAACACCACTTGAATGACCTGCGAAAGTCGGCGTTTCATTTGTCCATTGATCCTCGTGATCTATTAAGCTTTGAGTTTATCACATTCAACAATAAAGTGTTTTCAATTCATTCGCTTCAATACTTAAATATTAGAAGAAATATTTACAGAATCTCAGAAACGAAATGGATTTGATAATTACAAACATCTCATCTGACATCAAGGAGGTAACGATGTTAACCTTTTCAAGCATTCAGTGTAACGTCAATGTTTCCTCCGACAGGTCGAGTCAGAGAAGGAGTACAGCGGCAGTTCAATGACCGGCGCGCGAGCCGAAGGCGGCGGCCCAGGAGGAATCATCCCCAGCTACCCCGGAGTCCCCTCGGTGCCTGGAGTGCCGGTACGCTAGTCACATGTCTCAAACACTTCTCCTCACTCGCTTGCTTTGTTCCAAATTAGATCATGTTCCGTGCACAGTTTTTATTTCCAACGAAGTACAATGAAAAGATATTTCAGGTGAAAGCGGAGGCTTATCAGTATCTACTTGGCTCTCCGAGTCCGGAAGACTTAGGCACAAATGCCAAAGTTTTCCCGAGAAGACGGTGTTTTCCGAACAGCCAAGTAGATACAATATTTCTCCTCCCGTTTGCGCTTTTCGAAGACACGGTATATTGTTTGCACACTTTTTGTTTTCTGATACGTTAGATATGATATTAGCTAAGCATGTTCTTTACAACGTAAGTAAAAATGTGAAATATTGCCTGTTTGCCTCTCAAACTATCCGAAATCCAGAACAAATTCTAGTTTAAAGCCTGTGCTAGTAAATTCATATACTGCCTTATTAAATGTCGTATGTTTTCTGGAGCTCGCATTTGTATTATTTTCCGGCTAATTGTATGAGGTGAATCGATTTAAAAATTGTAACCCCAAAACTAGCAGTGAAATGAATTTTATGCCAGCAAAGTTCTAAAGCGAGTGTTAATTTCAAGTCTCTCATATGTACTGGTTGTTAGTTTTACGGCTTTTTTGTTCATGCAGACCAGAACATGTAAAGATGGCTCTGTTAATAAAGCTTTGTATCTTGATTAGTTTTCTCTCTTTAAAAATGTTGATCTATTTTTTAAAATGAATTACAAATAATTGTATAACACAACTTAAAATAACTTGTCATTTATTGTAATGAAAATCTCAACAAATCAGAAAATATAATCGTCTGGATAGCTTAAAAAATTGTTGGCAACTGTTGTTTGTGCCAAATGCGTTCTGTTCTGTTGTTTTCTCAAGTTTTCTCCTACCCCTAAGAGTTGTAATGTAAAAAAAAAAAAGAAACCGCCTGAAACTGTTTTATTGAGTGGCGCTAAAATTGCACGAACGCTTCATTATACTACCTCAAGTATGTCGCGTTATGAAAACTATGTGGTAAACGTTTTGAATTTAATTGGAAAGTTCCTGGTACTCGCTCTATTATGACAGCAGTTTATTTCAGGGCTAAATGAATTGTTTTACTTCTTTGCACGTTTTCGAGAACTAAGTGGGAGTTAGGTATAGTTGCCGTTGTTTTGTGAAATTAAATACAATTACCGGATGTGAAAAATTACTTGAATAATGAATTTTTTAAATTTCCAATTGTAAAATTTCACGTGAAAACGTGTACTACCATAACGAGTCATGTATTCACTCTATCAAGCGCTAGCAAAACCCGTTGCAGCGATTTAATTTGCAAAAAGTACACATTACAGGGAGAATGGTACTCAGAATGTATCTTGATTCAAAGAAGACTCATTTTGGGCTTCGCGTTTATCGTATGTATATCCTATTTGGAACAATCTAAAGGAAAAAACCTTTTTAGAGCAGCATTAAAAAGTATTGTTTGCTGTGTAAATACGACTGCATTCAAATCTGTGTACTACGTATTTTATGTACTTATTAATATGATTTCATTAAATATAAACTAAATGTGAATTTGCTTTTGTACAGTGCTAAAAGGCAGCTAATTGAATTCTCACATTTTTGGCTAGTAATATTTGTATTTTTGATGATATAAATACTATACAAGATTTCTTAATTTTCTTCTTAGCTAAATAAAACTTTATAGTATTGACTTAGTTTACTTTCTTTTGTAATGTATCCATTCGTCATACCAGAACATTATCGCTATTGTAACAACTAAGAGCAATATTCATATTGGACTTATGGGCAGATAAAATATAGTTATTTTTGTTTTTGTCATTGAATAAAAAAAATTATATATATAATGCAACTATGAAATGTTTAGAACTCTCCATCATACAAGAGTACGGTTTTGTTCGAATAAAAACGATTTACTATAGTTGTATTACAAGACTTAAAATATTATTATTAATATAAGGCGACATTTAGGTCACGATACATATACACTTCACGTCAAACCCAATTCTCCATTATAAACACACAGCGTTGGATTGCAAAACTCATGAAGGGAATCCTTAACATACATCCCATGCTAACAGTGAATATTCGTAATCTCTTGGCAAAACAAATCAATAATCTAATTTCAAATATGTTTAAACGTATTAATAACAATTAGAAAAAGTAAACAAGAACGGTAAGATACATCCATAAGTAGTAAGAAAAAATACAGGATCTAAGTAGTACGCCCTACAGAATTGTGTTATATGTGCATTGTGTACAATTACACTCGTGATATGAAGAATAGCGTCCTATTGCGTATAAAACAACCCTCAAGCAATTTATTTTCACCATAATCGTCAATTCTAAAAACTAATAACTTGAATCCTTGTATTTTTAACTCGAATTTCTTTGTCTGAAATAACTAAGAGAGATTATTGTTTCGCCATTTCCTCCGCCAAGCGGCGAATTGAAACCCTTCTAGTGCGTGAATGCACCGCGTGTGAGGCAGGGCGCCCCTGCGGCCGGCGGCGCGGGCAACAGCAGCGGCAGCGGCGGCGGCCTGCCCGGCGGCATGCCGTCGGTGCCCGGCATGGAGAGCTTGGCCGGCCTGGCGGGCGATCGCACGCCCACGCTCATCCTGGGCGGCTTCTCCGTTCTGGTGATGCCCGTGCCCGCGGGCGCCGAGTGGATGTCGTCCATGCAGGGGCTCATCCCGGGCATGAGCGGCCTGCCCGGGGTGCCCGGAGGGGCAGGCGGGCAGCCCGGGATACCCAGCATGGCCGGGGTGCCGCCGGTGCCCAGTGGATAGTCCGGATTCTGTCGACCAGACGGTTATAATCCTGCCACTCTATTGCCCTCTGGGTAGCTTTCAGACTTTATATACAACGTTAATTCATTACAACGAACTAGGTTATACAAGGTAACCACTTTTAGGTACGAAAAATAAGAGCGAAAAAATTTAAGAGTACCTAACCTTGCTTAAAACCGGATTTCGATTTTTTGTTTGTTTTTGCTTGGAAAATGTATCTTACTCTCGAATTTCTTTTCAAATACGTTCTAGTTTTTGTCAAAATTTCACATCACATGTGAAATCCGCTAGGGAAAAATACTATAAGTCGAAAAATGAATTTTTCAGTACAGGCCTTTAATTGATTTTCTTGGAAATAACAATAGGAAGAACTTTTTGTTCCTTGTTAACGACAATGTTATGAACTCACATAATTATCTGTAACAGATTTATATTGAAAGTAAAGTATTTAGAAAAACAAAATGTGTCTCTCTATTTTGCACGAACTGTCAACTTATACTGTTGTGACCATTGAATAAATAACGTATGCATCATTGTATAGGAATTGAAAAGTAGTAATATCCTAATTTACAACAAAATTTATAATAAATCTACAGCTAAATGATTGAGGATATTGCCCCACCAGTTCAGTCACCAGGGAGTTCTTCTACGTCGCGGTAGGCGTTCTCAGTTTAATGGGTTTTCAGAATTCATTAAAAGGTGTGGAATGTGGGAGGAATAAGTAGGAGGAGATTCAAAATATCCGTCTTCTTTCCTTTTGAAATTGGTAATGTATTACAATATCATTTCACCTGCTTTCCCTGGACAAATGCAATTTAATGTTTGAAACGGCTCATACTCATTGAGTCTTTTCTTAAACGACACTGGACCATTTTTATTATTCCTGCGCATAACATATTTCTTCGTTCTTTTGTGTTTTTTTCAGAGCCTGTTTTTAAGTTTTTACTAAGCTATGTTATTCCAGTTATTTCAATTTAGGCTGTTGAAATGCGCTGGTTTTCTCACTGAACCATAATACAAATTAAGCAATTTTTTGAAGGGTATGAACGTCTTTTATATTACATAATATATTTTCTTCTATTGAATCGACTTTTACTTCGTTTTCCAAACGTAGTACGGTTTACATTTGATATATTTTTTCATTAAAAGAACTTTCTTTCAATTTAATTTATACTGACTTCATCGTAAATGTAATCCTTACATTTTACCTATTTTATTTTTTTGAACTACCATGACCTTTGTAGTACTTATTTCAAATATGTGCAATATAATTGTTTAACTATTTCTTATTTCTGGTATTTTCATAAAACAATTAAAATCATAACAGCCTTTATACTTTAAATATGTTTCTTGAAATGCAATTTTGTGCAGAGCTTTGTTGAAATACAATTTAATTGAGTTGATTTTAGAATATTATTCTAGTTCTTTGAGTACTGAATTCCTGCCACAGACATTTATCCAACAAGTCGTTTTTAAGTGATAATATTTTTTTTTGTATTCACGATCTGTTACAAACTAACATTTCTTTTCTAAAGGTCCCGCACGTTAATACTGTTTTTTCTCCTTCCACACAGTCTGAAATATTTCATGTTACCGTCACCATTTCATCGCGATGGCCACGTGTATCCTGAGCCCCCACTTCCGCCCCATTCTGTCGTGTCGCATGAGGCCCCATGCCAGTCAGAATGTCACATGACGGCACCGTCACATACGCCGCCCTCCCCACCCGCCCCCTCGGCGGTGCTTCACCTGCCCCTCGCTCCGCCAGGGGCCCAATCAGTGCGCTTTGTAAACCGCCGCCCTCGTCCGCATGCAGGCGGCATGCGTAATGCACGCGCCTAAATTGCGTTCGCACGCGCGCCCACACACGCATAGAGCCCACACGCGCGGCCGGCACCGCAGCCGCCTTCGCCGCCACGGGGCCGTGGGCGACGCCACCGCTGTAGTTGCAACCCCTTCCCTGTCACCGACGCCGTCGCTTTCCCGCACCCCGCCCGCTCCCATTCCAACCGCACAGCCACCGCCGTGTTGCCCCTGCCACTGTCTCCGCCACCACCGCCGACGCCCGCGCGACGCCCTTCCGCTCCGCTTGAAGTGTCTCGCGCCGTTGCCACCTGCCCCTCCCTCCGCCCCGCAAGTGGAAATGAAGCCTCGACGCGCGTGCCGCCGGTGTTTGACGCGGTCGCTGCGGCGCGCGCGGTGGCTACTTAACGCGCTGAGTGAGGGGCTGTTTGGCTTGCGGCCGGCGACTTCGGTCCATCTGCGACGCGTGATGCGGGACGGAAGGCGGCGGGAGGTGCGCTTCCGGCCGGAGACACCCTGCGGATTAGCTCTGCGCATCGGCCCAGCAGATTTCCGAACGAAACCTTTGTGTGATCGGCGAGTCACTGGTGTATCCTGCTTGCCATGCTCTGTAAGCATGTCTCGCTGGTGGCACGAGTAGGTTGCATTTGATGAAGGAGTGTGATTGGCGTTTGTATATGGAGGGGTGTGTGAGTGGGTTTCATACTATTGGTCTTCATTACAAAAGGTGAGGAGTTCTCTCAATGTTTTACGAAGACAACTGTTATTTAAAACAGGATAAGATCTATTGCTAAAAGTATGTAAAATATTCAGCCTTACGCATAAGTGCAACCATTTAACATTATTGGGAAGGATAATTTTTAGGTAGATTATTACATGTAATAAACATATATGTTAAGTATGAAGACATAACTTTTTAAAGCCAGAATGTTGTGTGAAAACAAAAACGACACTGATTAGCAATACAATAAAACAGCAAAATATGCGAAAAATTTAAAATATTGAGTTAAAAGGAAGGAAAATAGTACGTTGATGTCAGCAGAAATATGGCACTTTATTCAAAGTATCTAGAACGTTATTTTGATTT